TATGACAGCTGCATAAAAAAAAAATTTAATAACTCAAGTACTGCTAAATTATATATATATATATATATATATATATATACATATATATATATATATATATATATATATATATATATATATATATATATATATATATATATATATATATATATATATATATATATATATATATATATAGAGAGAGAGAGAGAGAGAGAGAGAGAGAGAGAGAGAGAGAGAGAGAGATCTTGATAACTATAATACGAAAATACATTAGGACAACTGTAACTGTAACTGGCAATTAATTTGCTGAGTAATTAGTTTATATATCTGCTGGTTGGAGTGGTTGTGTATCACAGATTACTATATAGAATGAACTTTTATCAGAAGCTTAAACCAAGTGACTATATACTTTCTGACAGAGTGTGCTGATTCCTATTGCTTACTACTTTTATTTAATAACTATTGTGTTTCTTTTATGTAAATTAATTTGACTGTATCTTTAGGTTACCATATTTATTAATTTGCTGAATAAAGTCTTCTATATCAGTTTGAGTTTTAATTTACTACTATTAATTCACTACATAGAGGATTCAACATTAAAGATGCTATCGGGGCAACATTAAAAATCATAGCTTTTAAATAAGAGTATAATTATCTGGAGGCAAAGTAATCTAGACAGCTTTTTAATGTTCGTATACATGTGAATAGAAGAACTTGATGTATAAAATGTTTCTCATTTTTTATATGACTGTGTGGATCTCTCAATTTTTTAGATAAAACCATGGTTAAAATAATAATGCATTTGTTCATCTTAATAAGGGTGTAGCTAATTAATGTAAATGTATATTATCAAGATGGCCAGCAAATTTTCATGTTTATTTTCTATGAATTTTCCCTGATTCATAAAAATTATCTAATTTTCCAATGGAATCAATCAAAATTCTTTTTATTTTTATTTAATTCTTTGAATTTTGCAGGATGTCCATTAATATGCTTTTCTATAAATTAGTTTATAGAGAAGCATTTTTTACAGATTAAAAATTTAAATATATTTAAAGGAGTTTTAATTTGTGTTTTTTTTTTTTTTAAATTACTTAAACTTTTTATAATGGTATAATTTTTCCAAAAACTAGATCTTTTGAATATGCTGTAAACTTTCTAAAATTTTCTGTTGATTTGTCACTACTTATGGTTACCATTAGCAATTTTACAATATAAAATATTTTATATTGATATTATTTATTAAAGGGATCCCTAAGTGCTATAAAGATATGATCTCATATGAAAGAGCATTAAAAAAAAAATGTTTGATGTATATCATTTTTTCTAAAACGTAATAATGAACACACACTAACAAATTTAATTTTCAAAAAAACGCTTTTCTTTGATTAAAAAAAATGCGTCTTGTCCAAAGTTTATTGACTCTATTGCCTCAAAAAACTAACGTTAGTACGTCAAATTAAACAAAGTAGACAAAATGTCATTATTGCAAACTTATTAGTTGGTAATTAAATTTAGAAGTAAAGTCGTTTTTTTTTCAACTAACACATAATTACTTACAAGAATAAGTTTTGTAGCATTTTGTGAAAATATATTTGTATATTTATTTAATTTATAACACATACAATACAGCTAAGTACTAATATTTTAATTTATTTATGTAATATTTCAGTCTGAATAGTTCAGACCGTCATCAGACGTAAAATTAAATACAATAAAAATCTCACAAAAAAACGTATGTAAAAAATCGTTATAGAAGACATTACAAAGATGAGCTGACGTAATGTAAACAACTATTTTGAAATTTCTATGATTTTTTTTAAAAAGAGGTCGCCAGTTTTTTTGTGAGATTTTTATTGTATTTAATTTTACGTCTGATGACGGTCTGAACTATTTAGACTGAAATATTACATAAATAAATTAAAATATTAGTACTTAGCTGTATTGTATGTGTTATAAATTAAATAAATAAATTATCAAGTACTACAAGAAATGTCATTAAAACAATTTGTATATTAAATTTTTTTTATAATATTAATTTATATATTTGTGTTATAAGGGCAATTCCACGGCTAAAAATGAATAGAAGTCAATTTTTAAACTCTTTTTAGTCAATTAAAAACAAATGAATATTGACTTAGACATATGAAAGTTTATTTAAAATATTTCCTTAGTAAAAAAATAAATTTATTTCAGTAATTTTTATGATTTCAAAAGTGACGGTTACTCTCATTTTTGCTTGATAAAAAAAAATAATGATTGTAAAATGTTTTAGTTAAATTAACATTTATGTTAAATTGCTATATATTTTTGGTTCAAATTGATAAGGTTGAACAGACATTTTATTAGAAATTAAACTAAGACAGGGCTCGAATTAACGCAAAAAAATCTAATCGCGAAAAAAATTTTTTTTTTTTTTTTGCTCTCTCTCCCCCCCCCCTCTTATAGCTCGCGTCGATGTGCGGTAATGGGGGGAAAAAATTATCGTCAATAAATAAAAAAACATCGTCAAAAATTTAATAAAAAATTAGATACCACGTTTTTTATAATTTATTGTTTCATGAATAAAGGACTAATAAAATTTTAAATATAATTAAGTTTTTCATTTAAATGGTTGATGTTTTTATTCAATTTTTCTATTTCAAGTTTTCCAATAAAAGATAAAACAAAAAAATTTGGTTTAATAAATCGAATTATACTTCATGTTTAAAATAAGGCTTAAAAACGTTAAAGTAAAAAAATTGCTGGTTTTTATTAGCATTTTTATACTGTTGGAAAAAAAAAACTAATAAAAAAGAATTAACTAATAATATATTAATTAATAATTATATATTAATTCTTTTTTATTAGTTTTTTTTTTCAAACAGTATAAAAATGCAAATAAAAGTCAGTAATTTTTTTGCTCTAACAATTTTAAGCCTTATTTTAAACATAAACAAAGATAAAAACCAACTTTTCAACTTTTCGCTTTAACGACCTTGTAAAAATTTTCCACACAGAGATTTAATGTAATTTAAATTCAAAAATGTTTTACGTTGAAAGAAAATCTCCGCGCGAAAGAGCAAATTATCTATTCATCTATCTATTCAGAATAATAAATTTTGTGTGACGTTCTTTATGATAAAAATATTACTTTTAACAATTGCTAAAAAAATGCTAAGCTAGAAAAAAAGTAATTAATCAACTAAAAAAAAAAACGAGTCGCGAAAAGATTTTTTTAAGAAAAAACTAATCACAAAAGCGTGTGTAGCAATCGCGATCATACAATCGCTTTATACAAGCCCTGTAAGACTTTTTTATAATTTCTAAACTATTTAAAACTATTACTTATAACTTTTTTTTAACGACGTCTTTCAACCGAATGCTATTATACTGTTTTTGCAAAACTAATTTAAAAAACTTGATTAAAACTTAACTATTTAATCACGACTTGTTTTTACTTGAAAATCGAAGTAGATATTCTAAAGTTGTTGTGACGTACTAACGTGATTTTTAACGACTAACAATCGAGTTTCAATGGTGAAAAAATAAAATCAAAATAGAGTTGTTTTTTAGTGATTTCGGCAATTGCTTATTGTTAGCATGCATTTATTATTACAATTTAGTGAAAAAGAAAAAAAACTTACATATTTTTTTTTTTTTTTCTTTCATATGAGATCATATGTAAGGAGCACTTAGGGATCCCTTTAAGTTACAAAAGAATTTTAAAAAGCAAAATTTATAAAGCTTATAAGAATTTTTTTGAGAGCTATTTCAATTTGAAATTTGCAGAAAAAACTACATGAAGTTTAACAAAAAGAAATACGAAAAACAGTTATTTGTGTGTTTTTATAGAATAAACTTATGAATGTATTCTTATAAAGTTTTAATATTTTCTGCCTACAAGTATGCGCACATGCTGTTTACATAAAGATGTGGCTTTGCATGCCATGGATTGATGCCATCTATTTACATAATATTTACTGAGATTTAGTGTTGTACTTTTATGCATTGTTTGCTTACAATATATTTAAAATTTAGGCAACATAAATGTATGATTAAGTGTGCTAGTAAAGGATTTTGATATAAAAATGCTTATAGAGGATTTTTGCTAAACTTTTTAGAATATTATAAAGAATATTTTTTTATAATTATGATAATGAAAAACAAAATAGCAGGAATAATAGCAACTAATTTGAAAATAAGTCTATAATAAATAGCATATAATAACATCATATTTATAAGGTATATTTGAATATTAACTAGCACTTATACACAAAAAAATATTTTGAAAACAAAAAAATTATACTATAATGATACTGCTACCGTGTAACTCAGTACAACCTGTTTCATATCCTGTTATCTTGTTACTGTTTCATAACCCAGTACAACCTGTTTCATATCCTGTTGCCTTGTAGGACATGCATTTTTAGGCAAAGGCTAGGAGAAGCCAACTCTGACTTAAAACACTCCCTGTCTTGGGGCTCTTGATTGATAAAAGACTAGAGATGGTGTCTTGATATTTTGGGCAGATGTTAAACACATCCTGCTACTCTGACTTAAAACACCTCCTGTCTTGGGGCTTTTGGTTGATAGAAGACTAGAGATGGTAAAATATTTTAAAAAAGGCTACTTTTTTTGTTAATTTTATTACGTTTATAACCCTTTCTTAACTCTTAACAGAAACCAATGCACAGAGAAACAAGTTGAGTGTGGGAGGTGTTAGGGATCTTGTATGAATGTATGTATGAATGTATGAATATATGTATGTATGAATGTATGTATGAATGTATGTATGAATGTATGTATGAATGTATGTATGCATGTATGTATGTATGTATGTATGTATGTATGTATGTATGTATGTATGTATGTATGTATGTATGTATGTATGTATGTATGTATGTATGCATGTATGTGTGTATGTGCATATTTATTATATATTATAATTGTGTTTAAGCAGAATATATTAGTACTGTTTAGGTTTTACACAGCACATACACATTAGTAAAATTTTGTTTTATTCATTTAATACTTACTTGGTGTCACAACACTTTTATTAGCTCGAGTTGTATATTTCTGACAAAATTGATATAAAGTTTTGCTATCGTAAGAGTAAGGCATTCGATTTTTTGTAAATAAAACATCTTGCTCTTGTTCAACATATGGATAGTGCATATAGAACATGTCATTGCGTTTAAGTTTTTTGCGCATTCTACATGGACCTAAAAATCAAAAAATTGTTTGTTTAACAATAATTACATATCACCTTGCACTTTATCATACTATATTTTATTATATATAAATTAATGTTATACATACTATGTTTTTATTATATGTAAATTAATGTAAGCATACATTCACATTAAAACTAACAAAAGCAAAAAAAAAAAAAAAAAAAAAAATTAATTTTTAACATTTCTAAATTGTAAAAACTTTTTACTAAAGTAACATAAAATAGAGCATATTCTAAGTAATATAAAATAGAACAAAAACTTTTCACAAAAGTAACATATAAGAGAATAAAAAAAATTTCTGAAACAATAAATAACATATCAAGTATGGATTTGCATTTCAATGATATAAATGTATCTTCTTTATTCCAAAATAAAAATTTTTTGTTTTTATTTTATCAACAAGTGAACCCTGACAGCTTTAATTGGTGAGTGAAGAGAATGATGAGAGTTACAGAGAGTAGTGAGTTGAGAGTGTGGTGAGTGGAGAGTGTGGTGAGTGAAGAGTGTGGTGAGTGGAGAGTGTGGTGAGTGAAGAGTGTGATGAGTGAAGAAAGTGGTGAGGGGAGAGTGTGGTGAGTGGAGAGTGTGGTGAGTAAGAAGGGTGTTGAGAGTTAAAGAGAGTGGTAAGAGTTGAAGAGAGTGGTAAGAGTTGAAGAGAGTGGCAAGTGAAAAGTGTGGTGAGAGTAAAGAAATGATAAAACTACTTATGTTTTAAAAACCTTTTTAAAAATGTAGGGAGTGGTTTGGCGGTTAGGGGTGTGGTACTGATATAAACCTATTTAAAAATGCAGAGTGTGATTAGGGATGTGATATTGACAAAAATATATTTTTTTATCTAGAAAAAAATGTCACGCTTCACCTTTACTTACTATAATTTTTTTGTTTTTATAAATTGATTATTTGATTACATTTTTAAATTAATGATAACTTTTTTATTTAGTTATGTCCAACAAATTCTAAAGAAACTTTTTTATTCTAAGAAATCTTTTCTATTCCTTTTCTTGTTTTTCATTTTATTTATTTTCTTAAAACCTTATGTAACAATAAGCATTTTTATTTTGTATATTACTCAGACATAGTGCTTCCAATACCGATACCATTTTTCAATACCGGTTTTTCGGTACTGAATAATTTCAAAAATTTTAAAACTTTTTTTTAAATTTATCATTATATGAATAAAATCTCAAGTTAATAGTAAAAATTTCATTGATTTTAATAATGTAATAATTGTAAATAAATAATGTAAAATAAATGTAAAAAGCTTATTTATTTTATATCAAAATAACTAACTTTTTCATTTTTTGTTTTTTTCTGTATGTCTTACGCAGTATGTCTTTGTTTATACACATTTTAACAGGGAACATCATTAAAACCACCTTTAAAGTGAAGTACACCTTTAAACTTTTCACTCGCTTTCAGTGAAAATTCTCATAGAGTCTTGACATTCAGTAAAAGTTAGAATCCGTGTCAGAGTATGATTAAACCTTGTAGAGTTGAAGAAGATGTTTTTGTCACATTTAAACCTTTAGGATAGCATTTTTGTTTCTTATTCTTAATTTCATTAAGTGAAGGATAAATATCTGCATTCTGTAATATGGATGAATTTCTAATATTTTGATACTGTTTATTAGAAAAATCACACTTTGAAGCTTAAAACACCTTCAGTTTTCATTTTTGTAGGAAAAATTACTTCCATTTTCTCAACTTTATCAGGATTTGTTGCAGTTTTCATGAGAAAACAAATTCTTTTTGGTAGCATCTCCAGAGGCTTTTTTTTATTGAAGCTAATGTCAGTGCTTCAGCAAGATGTTAAACTACTTTTTGAATTAGTTTGAACTAAATTGATTTATGTTTACCTAAGATTTTCTGTTTTGAATGATTTGAAACTAAAAGTCTTTTCATGATGAATGTTATTTTTGATGAATGAATTTTATTTCATGATGAATGTAAGCTATGAACAAATGCTCATTATTTTATACACAAATTTTAATTATATTTAAAATTCATGCAATTTTGGTTGAGGTTTGATAATTGTTTCTTTGATCATGAGTTTTAAAATGATATGAACTAAATGTATTCTTTTCATGATAAATGTAAGCAATGATCTATTGTTCTTAACTTTATACACAAGTTTTAATAATTTTGGAAACAAACAAAGTAAGAAAAGTTAAAAGGTCCTTTATTTAATTGTGGCAAGTTTTAGACAAATAATTTTTTTTCTTTATGATTTCATATATACCTATCAATAAGAAAATGTTAAAACTGGAAATCTAAAAAAATATAAAAATGAAATCTAGTGGAATCTTTTAGTTTTCCAACTGAACTCATTACTACTAAGATTTAAAAAAAAATCAAATTGGGGTACTTTTTTCAAGATTTCAGGAATGAAAATTAAATGAAGAAGAAAATCCAAATAATTTTTTTAGTTTCCAAATATCTTAAACATGTGCCTTTGAAATTTTATTTGAGTTTTACCCATATCAACCTTTTTAAATTTGGATGGGTTTTACCCATATCACACAAAAGCAAGCTTTTTCTACACAAAAAATTTTATCATTTACATTGTAAATCAATTTAAAAGTTCCTTGCAGTTATTTTATTGACTCACTCTGCTGCATAATAACATATAAATATGTGTGCATTTATGTGTGTAGTATACAACCCTCGGAATTAGGAAAAACGAAGTCGCCAATAATTTGCCAACCTCAATCTTTTTGAGGTCAGCAAAAATTATTTGATACAAAGGTCTGACCATAAAACATAGAAATGAGGTCGACAATTTTTTACCAACCTCAAACACTTTCAGGTTGGCAGTTAGGTCAACATTGCTGAATGCTGACCCTAATTCTGAGGGATGAGTATATATATATATATATATATATATATATATATATATATATATATATATATATATATATATATATATGCATACACTTATATCTTTGAAACAGTAAAACATCATTAATTATTAATTTAAAAGTTTTACATTATAAATAATAGTAAAAAGCTTATTGACATATAATAAACTTTTTCAATATTACCTTCAATGTCATCAAGCATCCATTTTTCCAGAATATTTGTACGATTAGGACCCCAAACACCTCCTTCTCTAATCAAATCAAGTTCCATTCTTGACCAGCATTTCTCAGCTGAATTTTTAACTAAAGCTATTTCCTAAATTATACACACAAAATAATACATTTTTTTCCCTTCGTCTTCCAAGAATATCTTTAAAGGAATCCCTATGGGCTGAGACAAATTGTGTTTATTTTATAAATAAATATTAGAAAATTTTTTTTGATTAATTAAACTTATCAGAACAAATTATTTATCAAAATATTAACAAAAAATATTTCAGCTTTTTTTTTAATTACGTTTTTAGATATATAAGCCTTATATTAGCCTCACAATTAAAAAGTTTTTAAAAAAAATGTCTTAAGATTATATCTTAAGACATTTTTCTACATAAGAGAACAGTATATAGAGAAAATATATAAAGACATTCTTCTATATAAAAATTATTATACGTAATATGTCATTTTTCATATAATTTAGAAAATTTATTATTTTTCAAATAAGAAAATAGTGTCTCTTGCCAGGTTTTCCAGAAAAAATTGTTTAACTTCACAAAATAATCTTATCACTAATAATTACTAATAAAGAAACTTTAAAATACATGGCTTGTTAATCATATTAACATTGGAATCTATCATAAAAAAACATCATTTCAATTTTGGAGTAAAAGTAATTAATGGCATGGAAAAATAGTATACATTTAAATAGAAAAAAATAACAGTAAAATGAATTGTAAGCATCTTGTTATATTAACGCTGTTACTAAAAATATTTCAAATACTTGAGAAGAGTACTTTTCTTAGAAATCAGATAATCATTTGTGCCTATAAACCATATAAAATTAAATTGTGTAATATGAAAATCATTTTCTAATTAGTTTTATTCAAGAAATTGTTTTAAAAATGATTTTTTATATATTTTTAAGATTAACTAATAATATATAAAAATGAAATTGAATTTGCAATTTTAATTATTACATATTTTTGTGTATTATTTTTATTATTTTAATTGCCAAAGGGAAAACCCTGAATAATGTTCTAATGTAAAATCTGATAAAATCTAATAAAAATCTATATATTATTTAAAATTATGAAATTTGGCAAAGTTTAACTGACTCAATTTATTTTCAAGGTATATCTACAATATGTTCACTGGGGTCCCTTAAAACCTCAGCATCAAAACTTTGATTTAACAAAACATTTATATATAGATTTGTTAAACTTTTGCATATACAAAAATTGGAAAAATGAAATTGTTATAAAAAAGTAAAAAAATTTATCTTAAAACATTAAAAAGTAAAAATTTTTATAACATAATATTTTTAGAATTCTGAAATATTTTTTGTCAAAAAATAATAGCTTGATGGGTTTTTAAACTTAATTGTTTTGGTTTAATTATAAAATTGGATAAAAAACCTGAGAAACTTTTGCACTTTTAATCTTCATCAAAGCTTTAACAGCACGAAGATGTACAATCATCCAGTTTATTGTTTCCTATAAAAAAAAAAAATTTTAATTTAATTTAAAGTTTTGCTTGTTTGTTTTTTCAATTTTTACACTTATTTTTAACTTTTTATTTTTGTGTTTGTTTACAATAGATTGTAATTAGAGTCATTGAGTAAAAATGTAAAAGAAGAGTGGTAAAACTCATTCTGAATTTTGGAAATAATTTTTTTTTTGAAATTGGATTTTGGAATTGCTTTATTGGGGAAAAGAAAAGGAAGTAGATAAACAAATATTTGCGGACACTTGACATATTTGGAAAAAAATTCTTGAAATAAGAGAAAGTGATGAAAATATACAAGGAGACCTATCTGTTAGACCAGGAAAGACACCAGATATCAACACTAAAGCAATTCTTTCTTAAAGCTTACAAATCATGCTATATTCAGAAAAATCAAAAATAATGCACTTAATTTCCATTGATGTAGTAATGGTAAAACTCAAGTTTTTTAAAGCCCCAAATTTTTGGGCGCTACTATGTACATATATGTGTATGTATGTATGTATGTATGTATGTATGTATGTATGTATGTATGTATGTATGTATGTATGTATGTATGTATGTATGTATGTATGTATGTATGTATGTATGTATATATATATATATATATATATATATATATATATATATGATTTAAGGCATATTTTTACAGCATTACACACACACAAAAACACACACACACACACATATATATATATACATATATATATATATATATATATATATATATATATATATATATATATATATATATATATATATATATATATATATATATATATATATATATATATATATATATATAGATAGATAGATAGATTAAATATTATTACCTGAATAGAAATATTTTCTTCTAAAACTCTTTCTTTTTTGAGAGATTTAGTCCACTTTTTAGATGATCTTTTGGATGACTTAAAATAAATAAATTGTAATTATTTAAAAAATAATAACATCACTAAAAAGTATTAAAATTCTTTTATAAAAAGGTATGTGATAATCATTTGCATATCATTTTGTTTTATTTAGAGCAAAATTCATGTTTCAGTTTAAAAAATGTTTTAAATAATTTAAAAACACAAAAAATCAAGTGCCCTAATAAAAGGATAAAATAAATTTCTATGAACAATTGACCTTGTTTAGAAGTGTTTTTTTTTTAAAGTAACTTCTGATATGCAGTAATATAAACCTCAGGTAGACATACTAAAAAATTTTTTGGATCAAACTTTTGAGATCAAAATTATTCTAAAGTAATGCTTCCAATTTTTTGAAAGTAAACAAAAAACAACTTTACAACATTAACAATAAACAATACCCTCCAATATAAGAAAACAATCCTTAAATTTGAAAACTTTCAACATTTATATAATTTTTCTTTAAACTTAAGTGAATCACTCCCAAATCGCTCTCTGTTCACTTTGCGACACATTCTTTGGTTGTTTACCTTGACAATAAGTAAAAATGTGTAAAAACTTGTGTAAAATAATGTGAAAAAAACTTTTAAAGGTAAGCCAAACTGTAATTTTATCATTATATTACTTTTACTTGGCCTTTTTGTAATTTTTGCTATTATTAAGGTCATTATTGCCTTTATTTACTATGTTATAAGTAAGGAATCCAATACCGGTATACCGGGATAACGAAAACGAGGATTTTGGTCCATTTCGCCTAGTTTGGAATACTGGTATTAAAAGGCTTAAATACCTGTATTTCGGTATTTAAATGGTTGTTTTTTTTTGTTTTTTTATTTACTTTTGGCAATATTTATATACTTCATGTACTTTTTTAAATTAAATAAGTGTTACAACATTTAAGTAGATATTAAAATGCAACTATTTTTGAACATATAGCATTGTTATATTTTAGATTATAAATATACGAAAATTCGTAAACATTTGTTACTTAATTTTAAAAATTTTTTAATTTTATTATGTGTTTAAATTCTTTGTTTGAGTAAAAAACTAGTATATTAAAGTAAAGTTGTCAAATTCTGATTCATAGACAACTCTTTAATGAAACTCTTCGCGTTATTACTTAACTCATTTTTAAAATCATTCGAATTGCTGGGAGGTTTATAATTATGGGTTGTTGTTTTTATTCTTTTTTGAAACAATTATAAGTGCTTATACTTTAAAGCAATGTGTTAAACATTCTTCAGTTTTTTAGTTCTTGATTTTACATTTTTAGTTATACGGCGAGGATTTAAAAGTAAAAAACAAGTTCCCATATTTACAAATTACAAAATCTTTAAATGCCTATTACTTTGATACTTTTTAAAAATAATTATCAAGAACAACTTTGGTAAGTTTAAAAATTAACATTTTCAAGTTTAAATTTAAATATTTAAATTCATTTTATTTAATGTTTATATCAGTCACATTATGTGACTGATATAAACATTGTGAGGATAAAATATGTATCACATATTTACAAATTGAGATTATATTCTAATTTAGCCAATGGAGAGTGAAATTAAAAAGTTTATTGAGCATTCAAAAGGTGGAGATAAATATTCTGTTTGGTTTTTTCTTTCTCAAAGATGAAAAAGGGCATAGTGCAAAGTGTAAGAAGTGCACAAAAATTATAAAAACAGCAGGTGGCTCAACAAGCAGCCTTCATGCACATTTAAAAACAAAGCATGATGTAATATTACAAAAGCAAGATGCTATTGAACCTCTTGGTGAATCTAGTTCAATATTGCCTCCTCCAAAAATTACTAAATATTTTAAAAAAACTACAGAAGACTCGCTGGCAGCAATCTTATCAAGAATGACAGCACTTGATGGGCTTCCATTCAGAATTTTCATAAAATCTGATGATTTTCGAAAATCATTAAAAGCATTAAATTTAAGTGATGAACTTCCAAAATCAGCCACGACTATACAAAAAATTGTCACTAGTTATAGCAAAACTATTCGGCAGTTAGTAATTAAAAGGTTTTTAGTATTACTTTTGATGAGTGGACTTCCTTAAGGAATCGGCAGTACATAAACATGAATCTTCACTCGGAGTCAAAGTTTTGAAATTTAGGACATCTCCAAATCAATGGAAGTTTATCTGCAGAAAAATGTGTCTTATTTTAAAGTGAAAAATTGAATCAGTATGGTTTATCATTAGAAAAGAATATTGTTTGTTTAACAAATGATGGTGCAGCAGTTATGCAAAAAGTAGGCAAATTAATACTGGCTACTTAGCAGTTGTGTTTGGCCCATGCAATTCAACTTGCAGTTTAAGATGTTTTATATAAAAAAGAAAGAACTGAAGAAAGAACCATTTGCTCGAATGAATCAATGAACTTCGACTCATATTCAGATGCCAATGAGTATGAAAACTATGGTGTCTTTAAAAATATTTCAAATACATACAAAGAAGGTTTAGTTATGGATTACTATATACAAGAACAAGATACAGAAATAGCACATAGTCAAATTGGTCCCCTTATACAAAAAGTAAGGAAAATTGTGTAAATATTTAAATGTTCACTGTTAAAAAATAAGGTACTACAGAATTATGTAAAGCTCAAATTTTGTAAAGAATACTTCTTAAGGCCATTTTCCACAAGACGAAATAATCGCGCGAAGCGAATTTTTTCGTCGATAAGCATGCGCAGATAAAACATTTCTCGCAATAATTAGCAATTATTGCTAGAAATGTTTTATCTGCGCACGCTTATCGACGAAAAAATTCGCTTCGCGCAAATATTTTGTCTTGTGGAAAACGGCCTTTAATCGCAAACTCCAAAACTAGATGGAATAGCTTATTACCAATGCTCGAATGTTTTTACAAATTAAAGTCTTGCATTCAAAAATCAGATATAGATCTAAAACTTAATATAAACTCTACAGAAACTGATTTTGAAACAGTTTTAACTATCTTTTGCCAGTAAAATTAGCTGTTGAGTCACTTTGTTGCTAATTTAACATAGGCATTAATGTTTGACAGGCTATGTGAAATTAAGTCATCATTGAGCATTAAATTTCTGAGTGCTTTAAAACAGCAAATTATTGTAAGAAGAACGCAGTTGTCCGATTTAATTTCTTATCTTCATAAAGGTCTAGAAGATGGTATAAGAAACTCAAATTTATCAAGTTTAAACTTTCCACGTGCATCAAAAGCTAGCAATCTCAATTTACTTTCGGGCAATCAGAAGGAACTTTGGAATCAAAGCACTGCTGTTGAAGGTTGAGCCCGAGAAATTCTTCACTTTTAGGTTAGTTGAGATTGACGAAGGAAAAAATTCTGAGAAATCAATGAAAAAAGAGATGTACAAAGCCATTTGTAAACAAATAAACTAAAAGGTTGTCGGGAAACAATCAGAACATGCTGGTGATATAATCAAGTGTTTAAAAAAAGAAATGAGTCTCTTTGAAAATGAAGGTGTGCAAGGAAAATATCTCCAACAGGTTTATGATCTTCTTTTAACAATTCAATTAACTAGCGTTGAATCCAAAAGAGCATTTTCTGCTGCCGGTATTATTTTAAATAAGTTGCATTGCAGAATGGATGACAAAACTCTGGATGCTCTTTGTTTTTTAAGAGCCTTTTTTCATAGAATAAAAGATAAAAGCTCTACCATATAGATCAATAAATTTGCATTCTTTCAAGTTTACGAGATTCATAAATTTATTTACTTTCCTTTAAAAATTTAAAATATTTAATACCGGTTTAAATACTGGTATTCCAGTATTATGTATTTATTTATAATATTGAAATACCGGTATTGATTTTTTGACCGGTATTGGATTCCCTAGTTATAAGCCCGTTATAAGTTACCATAAAAGTGTTTTAATGCCGTGTGTTGAAAAATATGTAAAATAATATGCTTTCCAAATATTATAAAGGTATTCAACTTACTTTTTGTTTGTGTATAATAAAACTAAAGAGAATTTACAGCAATCTGATACGAACTTGTTTGTGTTTTGTGCCATAAACAATAAAATTTATGAAATTTACCTGCTGTTTGCTTACTATTGGAAGGTACTGTATATTAAGTATACTTTTTTTAAATACAAATATTCTTTGGCACCTCAAATCACTCATTAAATATTCAACAGTAAAATGTCTATCTATATATAATATCAAAACAAAATATATATTATTTTGATTTATATTACATATAATATAAATAAATTATATAAAAATATATTATAATTATAATTATAAAATATAATAATTGTATTATACAACCTCGGAATCAGGAAAAAAGAGGTCAGCAATAATTTGCTGACCTCAACCTTTTAGAGGTCGGCATCAGGTCAGCAAAAGAAATTTGATACAAAGTCTTACCATAAAACATAGAAACGAGGTCGGCAATTTTTTGCCAACCTCAAACACTTTAAGGTCAGCAGTTAGGTTGGCATTGCTGAATTATGACCCTAATTCTGAGGGTTGATTATATATAATATAAACTAAAAGTAACAAAATCAAATATATAATACTGTAACACATTTCCAAATATTTTTCTTTTTGTTAAAAAAAAATACATTTTGAAGTCTAAATTTAAGCATTTATTTAATAATATATATTTCTAAATAAAATAATACAATTGTATAATCTCTTTATTGATGGTTCTTGCCCTGGCTAACCTTTTTAATGACTGATTAAAAAGGTATTAAAGAATAAGTAATGTTATTTTGATAGTGCCGAAGTGCAGAATATCTAAAATACCCACAACAAAAACAAAATAAGTAAGGATTCAATTTTTTAAAATTTTTGAATCGTATCTCGAATCATATTTTTGATTCGATTTGATTTGAAATTTTGAAGCTTTGCAGGGCCCTAATGTATATATATATATATATATATATATATATATATATATATATATATATATATATATATATATATATATATATATTTGAATATATAATAATTATTACTGTTAAGGTTGGACCAGCTAAATACTCATTTCTCTTTTTCTGCTCATTTCCAATAAAGTTAATCCAACAACGTGCAGCTTGTTCTTTAAGTAGTTTCCTAATGATATATTTAAATAACTATTATCAAAAAGTAGTTATAGTAGTAGTACAACATGGAAAATAAGAAATCATAGGCAAGTGGTCAATTCAATCAGCAAACACATGGAATTGAAGGTCAATTGTTTTTTTTTTTTTTGGTTAAAGTTTTTTTTTTTTTTTTGGTTAAAGTTTTTGTATTAGTAATAGTTCTTCATGACTGAACTTTATACATACAAAAATAACTTGAAAATTAACAAAATAAATCATGAAATAACGAAATAATAAACAAAATCAATTTTTAAAATAACTAACATAATTTTTAAAATAATTAGCATTTTTAAATTAATATTACATTCATATTACCTGCTAATGTTAATATTTTAAAATAAATCTTGCGTGCACAAATTTTTATTCAATTAAAAATAGAATTTTGATAATTTCCAGTAATTTCACGTTATTTTTTTTTTAATAAATTAAATAAACAATTTTTATAAATATATTTAAAAAATTTAACCTATACTATAAAAATGCATATTTAATTTATCTATGATTTCAAATTACTAATTGCATGTTTATACTTTTATATTGTTATTAAAATATTAAATATTATAATCAAAATAATGGTAAAATAAGAATTTCAATCATTTAAGAAAAAAAGAATTTTCACCACCAGTAAATGAAAGCTAATAAATCTAAATAACGATGCAACGATCTAAATAAATCTGGCAACATAACTTTTTGTATGGGAAAAAAGAAATCAAAATAATTTGAATAAATTTTTGCTTCAGAAGTCATTCCATATAAAACATAAACAACATTATTTAAAACATAAAAAATAATATTTTCTCAACTTTTTTGTTCTATTATAGATCTGAATAGGATACATCGTTATCAGACTTAAAATAATGCTATAATAACAGCGCCAACAACACGAGTTTTAATATGGTGTGTGTGTGTGTGTGTGTGTGTGTGTGTGTGTGTGTGTGTGTGTGTGTGTGTGTGTGTGTGTGAGGGTACTACAATAGTCAATTACTAAAAAAAATCATAAATGAAAAATAAATCACAAAAATCTACCAATAAATTTTTTTTTTATAGTTTTAATGAACTATCGAATAAATGACCACTAGCTTTTAACAGGTAATAAACAAAATTGTGTCTAAAATTTAACACGCAAGTGTACAACGTGAATACATAACTTCTTTCACTGACTCCTATTAGTATAATTAGTATATGATTTAATGTTTATACCTTAAGATTGAAGAGAAAAAAAACTCAAACTAACTCATATTAGTTAAAATTTAAACTTAATGGGAATTCACTTTAGTCGAACATTTGTTAAGTTGAACCTTTTTTGTGGTCCCATGTAGGCTCTAGTTATTAGAAATTAACAGTATACTCACTATTCCAAATTATATCCAGAATGTTTGCCAAACCTTACTTTTCACAACTTTGATTTTTTTTTCAATCGGTCAACCATGGCAAACAAGAAATCATTTTGGTCGGTCAAAATAGCAATTTTAGTCATTTTAAGCAGTCTTTGACCATTGACTTTATTTTCTATGCTGTAGTAGTAGCAGTAGTAATAGTAGTAAAAGTAGTAGTAGTAGTAGTAGTAGTAGTAGTAGTAGTAGTAGTAGTAGTAGTAGTAGTGGAGGTAGCAGCAGTAGCAGAGTAGCAGTAGTAATTGTAATAGAAGTGGAACTAGCCAAATTCATAGGATATTGAAGTTTATTATTATTGAGTTTATTACAAGCAACAAATTTGAGATTTTATAACAAAATTATTTAACTTACTCAGCTGTAGAAAGATCTAAAGTTGTCAAATGTGCTGGAGTAATTGATCTGTGAATAAAAAAAGAATCACCAATATAAGTTGCATAAATTTGTTTTTTAACTTAAAAAAACCAACAAATAATATCTAAGTTAATAAAAACAAATGATAGACAACAAACTTATAAACCTTTACACGACACTTATACAAAGTTTACACTTACAAAGCATCTAACTTTAAATACACTTGCATAGTTTCGCATGCAAAGCTTTATATATACTTAATTAACACTTACATTCACTCATAAACATTTATGTAGCTTCATATAGACTTATACAGCTTCATACAGACTTACACAGTTTGAGACTTACACAGTTTGAGACTTACACAGTTTTATATTTCATAAACACTTCATATAGACTTAAACTGTTTTATATGCACTTACGCAGCTTCATAGGAAACAAATGAAGATTGCACTCCAAACACCTCTTCAATAGCCTATAATATAAAGAAATTATGCATCAAAACTTAGCAAAAAAACTTCATGAAACTAAAGATATTTTAAACAATCAAGGAACCAAGTTGGCTATTAAGACTAGAAATGAAAAAAAAAAGAGTAGCTGACATCTTTTTTATGTGAATAGAAAACAGCCCAAGCACGCTCTGTTGCATTTGCAATTAGTTGATTCATATCTTTTGAATTGTCTTTGACCACTTCTAGGCTTGAACCTATCAAGAGAAAAAAAGTAGAAGTAATATAACTATAACTAATATAAAAAGTTAATAATCTACAAAATCAAATCAAAAAGTTAATAATCTACAAACAAAACAAAACAAAAAAAACAACTAAAAGAACACCATCATCTGAACTTTCATCTTCTGATATATATGATTCCTGTGCAAAAAGAAGTGATGGTCTACATTGCTGAACACAGCCCACAACCAACAACCAATGTGTTAAACATGTTATAAACTCAGGACTACGATTTTGCGGAGAAAAAACAACTTTACTGCAACTTGTCAACAGATGCAAAAGTTCAAGCAAGTTAGTTTGATCTTAATTAAAAAAATATTATCTAAAGACAATTCAAAAATTAAATATTTGTTAATTAGCATAATTTGAATAATATTTACTTTTCACTTATATTTATATTATTAACTGTTACTATTTATTGTAAATTCTTTGTTACTATTTATTGTAAATTTTTTTTTAGATTTCTTTATTGGAAAATCATTTTATTACTTTTACCTACTGTTAGCCTTTTTTTACCTACCTGTTAGTCTTTGTCCAGGTTTTGCAAATTGATAAAGTAAAACTCGATTCATAGAGTGGTATAATAAATCTGCATTTAAACCAATTTCTATATAAATAAATTATTACATTTATTATATATTAACTCATTTTATAAGAAAAAAATAAAAACTATTCAGGACATACATAAGACATACATAAGAGTTTTGTATAAAACAAAGAACTTTTTTGATTTTAATAACAAGTAAATTAATTATATTTAATTATATAATTATTTAAAGAGAAATTTAGTGAACATCTAATAAAAAATTTTACATTTTTAAAAAAAAAAGCAAAATCAACAAAATAGAGTGCTTAATATTCTTAAAAAAACAGAGCAATAATAAATTAGTAGAAAATTACAATCAATCTTTTTTTTATTTTACACTGGTTTTATCTATAAAATTTAATCTACAAAACTTTCATTGGTTTTATCAATTTTTTTATCTTATAAAGATAAAATTTTATTTTTATAAAGAATTGAAATTTCTATTTAATCTTTATAAAATAAAAAAATTTGATTTTCTACTAATTTATACCTAGGGGAGACCGGGGCTTGTTGGCAGCAGGGGTAAGTTGATCTTCTACTAATTTATACATAGGGGAGACCGGGGCTAGTTTGCAGCAGGGGTAAGTTGACGAATTGCATTTATCTGCAAAGTCTTTCATCAAAAAATTTCAGTAAACCTTCTTAGTTGACCATTTCATCTTTCACTGTAGTATTGTGAGGATTTGTGCATGCGCATAAAAGATATTGTGATTTATGTGTTTTTTCCACATTTTTGTAACTTTTACAACTTCTTTATTTTTTCGAATTTTAAAAGTAATTTCATCAAGTACACGTAAACTTGGTTTGAGTTATATCTTGCATGGTTCAGTAAAATCTGTCCAACCATTATTTTTTATTTATATACGTTTTTCAGGGATCGGTAAGGGAGTTTGTGACCAAATAGCTGTCGGGGTTGGTTGGCAAAATTTTGGCGGGGCAAGTTGGCCGTATATATCAACTAAACCTGGTTGCAATTGGACATAAATTTCAACTTTTTCTATAAATTTTGATTTATTTTTTTAAAAATCGATTAGATAGATAGATCACATATATTACATGCGAAACTATAAAAGGAAAACAATGAAAACTATAACTCCTCAAAATATTATAAAAAATGCTGTTGATGCTGTTTTTGTTTTATTAGAAGGAAAATCTATACGAAAAACAGCCAAAGACTTTAATATCCCTGAAAAAAATTTGTCCCGATACTGCAAAAAGCAACAACGTCATGGTCAGCAAATATCAGGTTACATAAAATCTATACAGGTCAGTATTATATATATACATATATATATATATATATATATATATATATATATATATATATATATATATATATATATATATATATATATACATATATATATATACATACATATATATATACATACATATATATATATATATATATATATATATATATATATATATATATATATATATATATATATATATATATATATATATATATATATATATATATATATATTTATATATATATTGTATATAAAAACTATGCTAGTATTATTATTTACAAATAGAGTGCTCAATGATCTTAAAAAACATATAAGTTATATTTCATAACTGTGTATTAGTATGTGTTATAACACATACTAATACAATGTGTGTGTGTATAACACATACTAATATATATTAGTATGTGTTATATACACACACACATATATATATATGTGTATTATAACACACACACATATATATATATATATGTGTGTGTGTGTTATAACACATACTAATACTAATGTGTGTGTGTTTACACACACACAGTTTTAAAATATAACTGCTATGTTCTTTAAAACATAGTGTAATGTATGTGTTTGTGTGTGTATATAACACACACACACACAGACACACACAACACACACACAGACACACACACACAAGCACACACACACAGTTATAAAACATAACTGCTATGTTCTTTAACACACACACACAGATATATATATATATATATATATATATTATATATATATATATATATATATATATATATATATATATGCACACACGTGTGTGCATATGTATATAGTGTTATTTGTTTTAATATTGATATTGTTCATTTAGGTCTTTACTGATTTACAAGAGGGTCTGTTGGAACAATATGTGACTAAAGCTTCTGATATTTATTATGGACTTTCTCCTAAGGAAGTGAGGAAACTAGCTTATCAGTATGGAAAAGCGAATAGCATAAAAATGCCTCATAATTGGAGTGCAAATGAAGCAGCTGGAGAAGACTGGTTCAGTGCTTACCTCAAAAGGCACAAAAAACTGTTAATAAGAAAACCTGAGGCAACAAGTCAAGCACATGTTTCCAGTTTTAATCCAACAAATGTTTAAAAGTTTTACAACAATTTACAAACTATTCTTAATCGTTAAAAGTTGGAAAGTGGAGATATTTGGAATATAGTTGAAACTGGTATTACCCCAGTTCAAACTCCAGATCATATTGTAGCAAGAAAAGGTTTTAAACAAATTGGGCGTGTTACTTCGGCTGAGAGAAGCAATTTAGTAACTGTGGCAGTTGCTGTTTCTGCCAGTGGAAATTCAATTCCTCCATTTTTCATATTTCCTTGTGTGAAATTTAAAAGCTATTTTTTAAATGGTGCTCCTGATGGAAGCGCAGGCGCTGCAAACCCATCTGGTTGGATGACAGTTCGATTTTTGCAGTTTTCCCATCATTTTGTCAAATATGCCAGAAGTACAAAAGAACCACCTGTTTTGTTGCTATTAGACAATCATGACTTTCATCTTTCAGTAGAGGCTTTAGATTACTTTAAAGAAAATAGGGTATCGGTTTGTTCATTTCCTCCTATTTGCAGCCATAAACCTCAACCTCTACATCGAAGTGTATTTGGAAATTTAAAAAAATACACAAACAAAGCTTGCAATGCGCGGATGACAATGCACCCTGGTTCCACAATGTCTATTTACAGTATACCAGGTATTGTGGGTAACTCATTTCCATTAGCATGTACCCCTAATAACATCAAGGCTGGTTTTGCAAAAACAGGAATTACCCACTTAATGTTAACATTTTTGGTGAACACGATTTTATGTCAGCCTATACCACAGACAGACCACCTCCGAAACAAGACTGTGCTGTGGAAAGTACAGTGCTAAATATAAGGATGTTGACTTTACAATATCTGAGAATGACATGTTAAGTGCTGGTTGCTCAAAAGATATAGAACCACGTCAAGATATTTCATATTCAAGCAGTAATGATGTACACAGTACATCTACAGAGTCAACTGTAATTCTATCGCCTGAAGATTTAAGACCATTCAAAAAAGCTGAACCAAGAAAAAGAGTTAGGGCTAATAAAAGAAGTAGAACCACATCAATTTTAACAGATTCACCAAATATGAATGTTTTAAAAATAGAAAAAGAATCAGCTAAAAAGAAAAAGTTAGCAATTGAAGAGAGAAAACAAGCAAAAAAGTTAAATGAAGATAATATTAAGATGAGTAAAAAATAAAATAGTAAAGGAAGTTTACACTTAATGGAGAAAAGTTTGAATTGTCCAAATAGCTCTGTTGAAGAGGAGTGTTTTTGTTTGGTTTGTGTTGGAATGTTTTCTAAAAGTAAACCACCCAATGTCACCTTTGGGCTTATGAGTCATGTATAATCGGAAAATCTTTCATGTTTTTCATTTGCAATGATTGCTGCTAGCCAATTTGAAACTCCATTAGTTAAAAATATTCATGTAATAAAACAATATAAGTTTTAATTCTTATTGTATAACCATAAATTGAGAACACTGTTTTGTTTTGTCACTGTATTTTTTAATTATATTTACTTTCTATTGCTTAAAATGTTACAATGACTTGATCCAAAAGTTTGATGATATTGATAAAAGTATGATTCAGCTGATAAAAAGTTTGATGATATTGATAAAAGTATGATTTCAGCTATGATTCCTTTAAAAAAAAGGGGGCGAGGGGTTAAAATATTATTGGAATACACTTAAATAGGACCTTTAACTTTAGCTTTTATTATTGCAAGTCAACTTACCCCTTGAGTATAAGCCATTTACCCCAGTGTGGGGTAAGTTGGCGCAATTTTTTTTTTTTTTTTTGAGGCCCCAGAAAGGCCCCAAAATATATTTTTTTTAAGTTTCCAATCACTAATTGAAAAAAACAATTTAACAATATGAAATTGATATGTAAAATAAGATTTTGAAGAAATAGTTCTGACTTCTTTATCACCGTTAGAATTTCTGAAAAATTGAACAAAAGCATTCGGAAAGCTATTTGAGTTACTGATTTGGAAACCCACCCTTTATTCTTAGCTTTATACACAATGTTTTCTTTTACATAAATCAGAACTCCTTCAACTAGTTTATTAGTTTGTCTCTAGGACAAAATTTTATAAAAACCTAGAAGATGGAGAGTATAATTATCTAGATGATCTTTCAAAGAAACCCATGTTTCAGTTAAGCAAATTATATAAAAAATGTTTTCAGTTTCTTATTAAAAGGTTTACAGTTTTACGAATAAATTTTGTAAAATGAACTTTTTTTTAAGTGCGAGTAATAAGTTTATTGTAAATAAATAAAATGTTATAATAAAATTTCATCAATTTGTAACCAATTTAAGTTTTGTAAAAGCTAGTTGTTATTCTTTCTTCTTAATGCTTTAAAAAAAAAAAAATTTTTAACGGGTACCCACCCGTTCCTTCAACAGGTACCCAGGCAAGCATTTTTGTGATTTTTGACAGCTTTAGCGACAACATCTGCTTAATTGTGTATATATATATATATATATATATATATATATATATATATATATATATATATATATATATATATATATATATATATATATATACATACACACAGTATGTGCTAATATTGTCACCATGTTTGAAAAAAAATATATTTTATATTTTATTAGAAAAGCTGTGAAGAAAAATGAAACTTTATTTTTATTAATTAAATTTAAGACTTAGCTAACTAAAAATATTGCTTTTTGTTAAATTTAGATAATATTGAATTTTTTTAAAAATTTTTATGTGAAAAGCTAATGATGACAATTTTGTTGCAAATGAAAGCAATTAACATATTTGTCCACAGTTAATTAGCCATAAGACATAAATTAATAGCCTTATGACTAAAATGATTAAGTTATCAACTTTTCACAGATATTTAACGATTAAATATCATCTAACGTTTGATTTTGTTTACAAAACATTAAAAAAGTATTGTTATTATCATGAGGAAAATAAATCTTAAACTAGAAAAAAGTATTGTGGAAAGACCTAAATCCAGACAATCTTATCGTGAAATCACTGCTGCGTTCAGAAAGTCTCATAATCTCATATATAAAATCAAATTGTGCAATAATTTAGAAATAAGCCTAAAAGTGGTTGAAAGAAAATTTTTATATCGAGAGACCAAAGAACAATAGCTCGTTTAATTGCTTCTGGAGTTGAAACCTGCAAAGGATGTTACTAATTTAATGAATAACAGCTATGGGACTCATTCTTCAGTGCGAACAGTCAATAGAGAGCTCAAAAGAATTGGTTTTTGATCTAGAAGGAAGATCAAGAAGCCATTGTAAGTTTCTCGTCACCGCCAAGCTCGTTTAAATTATGCTAAACTTCATGCACACAAGACTTTTGGTGACTTTTATGACTGGATTTGGACAGATGAAAGTAAAATTAATATGTTTAGATCAGATGGTATAAGATATACTTGGAGAAAGCCTAATTCACCATTAAGGGCTCAAGATTTTACAGCAACCGTTAAATATGGCAGAGGAAAACTCTTGTTTTGGGGATGTTTATGTGCTCGTGGGGTGGGTGAATTAATGAAAATTAATAGAATAATGAACGCTGATGACTTTATCAACATCCTTAAGGTCGGATATTTTAAGTCCCTTCGAAAATGGAGCAGTACTGTATGTAACAAGATGTTTATGCAAGATAACGACCCCAAGCATAAGGCTGATAAGACCATTAAATTCCTTCATGAGAAGAAATTGAAAGTCGTAGACAGGCCAGCACAAAGCCCTGAGCTTAACCCACTTGAAAATTTATGGGCAATAGTTACACAACGGGTGTACAACTTTCCTACTCCACCTAAGAATAAGGATGAACTTTGGACTCGTGTACAAGAGGTTTGGTACTCAATTATATATATATATATATATATATATATATATATATATATATATATATATATATATATATATATATATGATGATGATGATGATGATGATATATATATATATATATATATATATATGATGATGATGATGATGATGATGATATATATATATATATATATATATATATATATATATATATATATATATATATATATATATATATATATATATATATATATATGATGATGATGATGATGATGATGATGATGATGATATACATATATATATATATATATATATATATATATATATATATATATATATATATATATATATATATATATATATATATGATGATGATGATGATGATGATGATATATATATATATATATATATATATATATATATATGATGATGATGATGATGATGATGATGATATATATATATATATATATATATATATATATATATATATATATATATATATATATATATATATATATATATATATATATATATATATGATGATATGGCTGATGATTGCTGTTAGGCATGAAAAAGTAAAGTTACATAAAAAAAGTTTTTTCTTTTTCATTTTTAATTATAAACTGCTCTGTTTTGAAATTTATAAATAATCAATATTTAATTTATAACACATACAATACAGCTAAGTACTAATATTTTAATTTATTTATGTAATATTTCAGTCTGAATAGTTCAGACCGTCATCAGACGTAAAATTAAATACAATAAAAATCTCACAAAAAATAAAACGTATGTAAAAAACTGAAATTAGGAAATTACCAGACAATCTCACAAGGCAACAAAGGTTCGCCTTAAATAATCTAAAAAAGAATAAAGACGCTCTAAGATTTTACCCGCTTGATAAAGGTTCAGGATTTGTAGTAATTAACGAATCAGATGCTTTTAAGAAATTAGATGATGAAATTAAAAAGTCCGTAATTATCAATTATGACCCTACACAAACCATCACAACAAAGTTTCAGAAGTTTTTACGTAAGTTGAGGAAAGAAAACAAATTTGATAAAAAAACTTATTTTCAACTATACCCTTCTGATTGCATTCCTCCATGACTATATGGCGTCATAAAAGCTCATAAATCAGATAAAAACTATCCAATGAGACCAGTGGTTTCCACTATCGGTACTCCGCCTAATGTTTCTTCAGAATATCTTGTTAAAATAATACAACCAACTTTAAATAAAAATAAAACAAGGTTACTGAACTCGTCTTCATTTGTCAACGAAGCAAAATCCTGGGTAATTTCTCCTAATGAAATTCAAGTCTCGTTTGATGTGATAGCATTGTACCCTTCGATTCCAATTGACAGAGCAATACCTGTAATTATTGATATACTCAACAATGATAAAGAAGATCTTGCGAATAGAACTAAATTAACTCTTACTGATATTCACCAACTAATTGAACTCTGTCTAAGCCAATGCTACTTTTTATATAAAAACGTGATTAGAACTATACAGAATTCTGGCCCTATTGGACTATCACTTATGGTCGTTGTTGCAGAGGCATTTTTGCAACATTTAGAAACAAAAACTTTGAGAGTTGCAGAAATAAATTTATTTTTACCAAAGTCATTCAAACGCTATGTAGACGACAGCCATGCGAGATTTGATTCATTAGAAAAACACGACAAATTTTTGGAATTGTTAAATCAACAAGATCCTGCAATTCAATACACATTGGAAATAGAAAACGAAAGGAAAGAAATAAACTTTTTAGATATAACAATAATAAATACAAACAATTTCCACTATGATTTCAAAATCCATCGAAAACCCGCAATTACGAATATACAAATAAAACCGAATTCTAACATTAATCCTGCAATAACATCTGGAGTCTTCAAAGGTTTTATATCAAGAGCCTCAAAAATTTGTTCTCCAAAATACCTTCAAGATGAAATACAATTTATAATAAATATGTTTGTCGAAAATGGCCATAAAAAATCTGAATTAGAGCTTATAACAAAAAATCTCAAAATCAAAAATAATCCTGTTGGTGTAGTTGCAGATCAAACAAAAAATGGTAACATAACAATAAAACTCCCATGGATTCCAAGAATAGGATCAAAATTAAGGAAAGAGCTCAAGAGATATGGCGCTAAAGTTATATTTACAACACCACCAACTTTAAAAAGAATTTTGTGTAATAACAAATCCAAACTATTGCCAAATAGCAAGCCGGGTGTGTATAAGCTTACCTGTCTTACCTGTTCATGCGGTGGCGTTTATATTGGAGAAACAAAAAAGAAAATTATACAAAGAAGTCGGTCTGAACTATTCAGACTGAAATATTACATAAATAAATTAAAATATTAGTACTTAGCTGTATTGTATGTGTTATAAATTAAATAAATAAATTATCAAGTACTACAAGAAATGTCATTAAAACAAATAATCAATATAAATTTCCTAAATATTGAGCATTTTTCAGCGAACAAGAGTTTTGTATTATTTTAATACAACACTACATCAAATGATATATATATATATATATATATATATATATATATATATATATATATATATATATATATATATATATATATATATATATGCAATATTCCAATGTGATATTCTAAAATTATCATAATACTTTAGGGTCATTCTAGTAGTCTAAAATTATTGTATTATTTCAAGATTTTCATAAAATATTATAAAAATTTATTTTGTGTAAAACAAATTAAAAACCTTCACATTTGCCTAACAAAGTTGCAATAAATTGAAAAATGGTTTTGTAACTTTCTTCAAAGAAACCTGAAAGCAAAAATTTTTTTATACATTTTTTTTACCCAAAACATGTAACAACTTTTATAAAAATCATACCTAGCCATAACTTTTATAAAAATCATACCTAGCCATAACCGATCAACAATCTTGGATACAAAACATATACCATTAGTATAACACCTTACATAGTCAAAATTTTTAGACTGATTTATTTTAATGAATTGACCAAAATCTTTAAGCACAGAAGATACAAAGAGAGTTGTGAACTTTTGCTGCTGGGTAAAGGTAGAATAAGATGGCAAACTCTGTTAAAAAAAAAAGTCAAACAACAGTGTATAACAAATAATACAACTGCATCTTATTATAAAAACTTCTATGTGTAGTAATCAAACCTGAAAAATTGAGTCCATGAATGTCTGAATTTTACCGGTGGTTTGATAAACTTGATCTAAAAAAATCTTTGTCAAAAGGCTTAGAACCAAACTTTGACAGGGATGATCAATCAAAGAAAGTTTATCAGCAGGTAAACCACCGTCTAACAACTCATTAGCCTGCATATTTAAAGATACAGTTAAATAAATTATTTAAAAATATTTAAAAATATATACAGTTAAATAAATTTTTTATACATAATTTTATACAGAATTTATAGAGATTCATTAGTCAGTTTAGATATGATTAATTCATAAAAGACTTTAGAAAGTTGACAATTAGCATATTTCATATAACACCAGTTCACCATTTTTATTATTAAGAACAAAATTATCAAAAAATTATATTGTTTGTATTATTATATTTTATATCATTTTATTCAAACAATTCGAATGAATATATTAAACAAATAATCTCTTAGGAATATTGATTCATTAATATTCAATGAACATTTAATCATCCCTCTCAACTTATAACATGCACAATAAAACAGAGTTTAAATTATCATTAACAAAAATTTTATTTAAAACAAATTCTAGTGAGGTCAGATTTATATAAAAATTTTTCAACATTAATACCTCTAAAATACTGTCAAGTGATTCTTTATTTTCATCAATAGGAAAAAGAGTAGCAATAAGAGCAGAAAGAATGGAGGAAGAACAAAAAATAGATGCCATCGTTGAACTATTATCATGAAGATATCCAAAAATTTGAATTATAGATGAAGATACACCATCCACTTCATAAAGTAATTTTTCCTGGAAAAATAAGTAATAGGTATATTCAAGTGTGTATTTTGTGTGTATGTGTCTGAGTATGTGTATATATACAGCCCTTGGCAATAAACTGCTGACCTCAAACTGTTAGAGGTTGGCTATAAAAATTTGATCCAAAGGGGTTACTATAAAACATAGAAACAAGGTTTGCAATTTTTTGTGGACCTTGAACACTTTTAGGTAAGCAGTTAAGTTGACATTGCCGAATGTCAAAATGCTGAATTTATGTGTATATATATATATATATATATATATATATATATATATATATATATATATATATATATATATATATATATATACAGTACTGGAAAAATTATTATGGATTTTTTAAAATAACACAATTTATGCAACAATTTTAGTTAATTTTATTATTTAAAGTATTATATTTCACATAAATTCTTTCTATTTTCACTATACATTCATTGTGTACCATATTTTTCATAAATGTCAACATTTTTTATCATTTTATAGATGGCAACACGATTTTTATGTGTTGTGTCATAATTATGCATATTATGCACATTTATGTTAGTTCGCTGCGTTCCGTCACGAGGGCTTGTCGTCGCTGAGAATTAAAGTTTTTATAACATTTTATTGAAGTTTTAAGTTTTTTTAATATTATCTAAACCAAAAAAGTTACTTAATTTTTTTTTATTTCATTTAGTTTTGTATATAAAGTCATGGGTAAAAATAGTGATTTAAGTCCTCGTAAAATTGGACAAATTAAAGTTTTACTAGAAGATTCTGAACTTAAACAAAAAGAAATCGCTAGGAAATTAAATATATCGACACAAATTGTTAGTCTGATTAAGAAAAAAATTGAGAGAGGGATTGATGTGGGCTCTCAACGACAAGGAAACTGTGGGAGGAAAAAAATAACCACACCAAGAACCGATAGAAAAATCCAAAATATGGCACTTAAGGATAGAAGAGCAACATGTTCGAAGATTTCCAGTATGTTAGGGGAAGAAGGAATCTCTGTGAGCAGAAAAACGGTAAACAATCGATTGTTAGAGTTCGGATTGAAAGCATATCGTCCAAGAAAAAAGCCACGCCTTACAGAAAATATGAAAAAAGCAAGATACGATTGGGCAAAGCAGCATGAATCTTGGACTTATGATGATTGGCAAAAGGTAAAAATGGTTTTTTTAATCTTAAATACATTTAGGAATGATAATCAGTTAAATTACTTTTGTCTTTATTAATTATTTTAGTTGTGATGGGGTCTTGTAACATTATAATAATACGTATTTAATAAACAATAATTTTCAAATTTTAACTTAGAGGTAAGGCACTCTCTCTCTACTTTCTCTAGCAGTTAATTTTGTTTCAGGTTGTGTTTTCTGATGAGTCGACTATCGCAATTTTGGATGATAGGGTCCAAACCGTACGTCGACGACCCGGGGAAGAATTTTTGCCAGAATGTTTGAAGAAGACTGTGAAATTTCCTCAAAAAATAATGGTATGGGGGGCATTTTCGGTCCATGGAACCAGTCGATTGACATCGTGGATGGCACAATGAACCAGGACAAGTACATTAAGGTGCTAGAATCTCGACTAGTGCCACAAATTAGGGAATGGTATGGGTCAGACTTCTGGATTTTCCAGCAAGACTCTGCACCTTGCCACAAATCCAAAAAAGTTATGACTTGGTTCCAACAAAATGCTGTCCAGGTTCTTCCTTGGCCAGGAAACTCGCCCGACATGAATCCCATAGAGAATCTATGGGATATACTAAAAAATGAAATCCACCAAATACCCATAACAACAAAAAGCCAACTGATAGAAAGGTTAATACACGTGTGGTTTCACTCTACAAAAATTAAATTTTTGTGTAAAAGTTTGATTGAGAGCATGCCACATCGTGTAAAAGCTTTAATTCTTGCGAAAGGTGGCCAAACAAAGTATTAAAATGTATAAAAATGTGTAATACGTGTAAATAAATCATTTTTGGTTATGAACTAATGAACAAATTGTGTTTTAGTAATGCCTTAAGTCCGAAATAACGATGTATTTTAAAAATCCATAATAATTTTTCCAGTACTGTATCTATATATATATATCTATATCTATATATCTATATCTATATATATATATATATATATATATATATATATATATATATATATATATATATATATATATATATATATATATATATATATATATATATATATATATATATATATATATATATATATATATATATATATGTATATATGTATGTATGTATATATATATATATATATATATATATATATATATATATATATACACACAAAGTTTTTTCAACTTACCACTATTTTAAATACAAACCATAAAAGTTTAAGCAAAAGACTTAATTTTTGTTATTAATTGTAATTTTCAAAAGTTTTCTTATAATATATGTATATTACACAAGATCGTTCAATATATACAATATACATAAATCTTGTATTTCATCACAAAAAGTCAGTTCTTGTGACTTTTGGAGAATCTTTAATAGTATCAATAATAAGGGCAAATCTGTTATTCCACCTCTTGTATGGTTCAGATTTTTTCACTTCACCTAAAGACAAATCTGAATTGTTTGCTTGGAACTTCTCAGCAATATGTTCTCTTGATTCCACTAGTTGCGTTCTACTTGATTTAGCCGTCAAACAGGTTGATCCATTGCTTGATATTTGTATTACTCCAGTATCTAAAGTGATTTCCTGCTTGGACTCTTCTATAGCTTGTGGTCTGGACAACATACCTATTATTGTTTTGCAGAAGTGTTCTCCAGAGCTGTCGTCTATACTTTTAAAACTATTCAACAAGTGCTTATCAGAGTCTCGTTTTTCAACCTGCTGGAAAGCAGCATCTGTTATCCCTAATTTCAAAAGTTCTGGAGAGCAATCTGATTCATTTAACAACCATTCCATCAGTCTTCTTCCTATAATAAGCAAGGTTTTTGACTCTTTAATTAACAAACACTTATCTCTCATCTTGAATCTAATAACATACTTTCTGATCATCAATATGAATTTCGAATCATGTGATGATTTGAATCAAAGATGAAGGGTAGATGAATCATCTACCCTTCATCTTCTAGGATTAACTCTTACTTCCAATCTTTCTTGGAAAGCGTATATCAAATCTGTTGCAAAATTAGCATCTGCTAAGATTGCATCTCTTATCAAGCTCACCACTTTCTTACTCCAAATTCTATTCTTTATCTCTATAAATCTCTCAAATCCATCCTTGTATCCAATATTGTTGCAATATCTGGGGAGGTACAAAAATGCATTGTAAACAAAGTTGGACCTGTTCTTGCAGCCAATCTTAAACTATTATCACATCGTCATAACGTTGCTTCTCTTTCTCTTTTCTACAAATACTATAATGGGCACTGCTCTAAAGAGCTAGCGTCTCTTGTGCCATCTACTAAAATTCATTCTCGTGTTACTCGTCATTCAATTAAGTCTCATCCTTTTTCTGTGACTGTTCCTAAGTGCTTCAAAAACTCTTATTCCTTTTCATCTTTTCTCTTCCAGTAACTTCCAACTCTAATAGTGGTTGCTTGCAGCCATGTTGGAAGCGAAGATGTTTAAAAAAAAATATATATATATATATACATATATATATATATATATATATATATATATATATATATATATATATATATATATATATATATATATATATATATATATATATATATATATATATATATATATATATGTTAAGGTATATGTTACATACATACAGATGACAAACATTCTAATACATACAGTACTTCTGCATCTATACTCAGAATTTTATATATACAGTTATATTATAAAAAATTAATATCAACATACAAAATACATCTAACTATTCAAATGAAACCTATTGAAATAGGAGCCATAATAGACTATAAAAATTGTTTAAAGTATTTAACTTTTAGATTTAGCTTCCATTGTTAAATGCTCCTCCATTTTTATATCCATTATCTCCATTAATAAATGCTCCTTGGAAATTAATTAAAATTCTGTATTTCCAAAAAGATCTTATATGCTTATACGTTTAAGAAATCGAAATTGTTACCAACTTCTCCTCCTTATTAGTGCTCCATGGAAAGGCATTTAATAAAGAAATTAGCACTACCTTTCTTACCAATATCACATATATAGTCAAATAAAATAATTTTTAAAGCTGTTTTATAAAACAGCTATAAAAGCTTAAGATAATCTTAGGGGGTTAAAAACAGAATATAAATGTTTGATGTTATACTATCAAAAATATTATCAAAAATTTGTTAAAAAAAACATTGTAACAAATAACCAGGGTCTCAAAATGCTTTTATTAGAAATTCCAATGGAAAAACTATAAAAAAAAATTTTCTTTAAAAAATCTTATCTACTTTTAAAAAACATAATTGGTAACTATATAAGGTATTTATTATAAGTATAAAAAATGTTTTAAAAATGCTACACATACCATGTTAAGCATGTTAGTGCTAAGCATGTTAGTGATTTTATTTTTATATTATATTATATCTTTCTCTTTTTTTTGGTCATGCTAGTATTTATCAGGCCAGTCATACAAGCATACAAGTACGTTATCACGTACTATAGTTACATGCTATTGCTATTTGCATGGCTATTTTGAGTTATAACCATTCTATTATAGAAGCTTATAGCTCAAAATCCCTCCTCATTCCCTTACAACATTTTTCAACTTGAAACATATCTCATTATTCCTCTGTATATCTGTTGGTATTCTCACTAAACAACTCTACAATCTAGAATCTGTTCAATGGTACAGTCTGTTCTTAGAATCATCACTTCCATGTCTACCAAAGCGAATGGTCAAAGTATTTGAATCTCTAATGAATATTTATTGACATTAAAATATCAAATTTCTTTTTTACTTTTTACGATGAAGCTATAATCCTGCATCAACATCACAGCTTACTCTTTAAACATTATTTAAATTAATGTCATTAATTGACAAGGTCTTTTTAACATAGTACAATAATATCAATAATTGCAAGGTCTTTTTAACATAGTACAACAATATAAATACTAGATATAAATTCCTCATGTTGATGCTACTTGATTCATTTATGGATAACATTTTATTGGTGTTACCAATCACAGCTTTGCAAAGAACCATAACAGGGTAGGATAGATAACCAGCTAATATCAGACATTCTTTTTTTATGTGTATAACAATTCAGGGGATATAAGAGAAATTCTCAATATCATATTTTATCAATTTACCAGACACCATAAAATTTAATTTTACCAGACACTCTACAGTTTTATAAATGAATTTTAAACTTATAATTTTGATATTAAAATAACAAAAATCATGAACAAAGCTTTATTTAACATCTTACATAATATTTTTACCTGACTCATCAGCTTTCTAAGAAGATGTAATAATATTACAAGAGCATCTGGGAAATAAACCTGTCTGTCTTCTTTTAACTTGTTTAAAGATGACTGAAAAATGTTAAGAAATGTGTTCATACTTAACCGTGTTGAAAACTCACCAAAACCTTTAGAAAACATTAAAGATTTTACAGTTAACAAACCAAATTTATTTAGAATTTTTACTTAAATAGCAACAAGCAAAAAAATATATATATTTTTATGATTTGAAAAAAATTTTGCACTATATACATATATTTGCATATATATTGTATACCTATTTACATATATATTGTATATCTACATATCTACATACCTGTATTTGTATTTAATAGAAGAGAAAAAAGTAAAAAGTAAATTTCTGAGAGGTCAACATGTTCTTGAAGTAAAGTTGTTAACAATGGAATTCCTTTTTGTTTGTATGATTGATGATTGACTTCATGATCTAGTTCTTTGGAAGGTTTTGGCTCTGATACATTAAATCCTTAAAATTGACTAAAACCTTTAAATATCAAATTAAACATGTTTAATACCTGAAAATATGTTTTAAAAATATATACACATTAAGTATATAAAAGCATATTTGCAATAAAAAATGTGAACAAAAGCACCACAAATAAAACATACATTTGGAACTATTACTATATTTTGATAAAATCTATAAAACAGATTAATAATGGTCATGGGACACATCTGGTCATGGGACATGATATAAATGATCATTGGACATAATACATCTGGTCATGGAACATATACATCTGGTCATGGGAAATGATATATCTGATCACGAAACATAATACAATTGGTCATAGGAGAATTGATAACAAATTAAATTAATTAGAAATGTAAAATTAGTAAAAAAAAGTCATAAATAGCATTTTAAACAATTGCATTTTTTTTTTCAAATTTAAATTCCATTTAAAAATTTTTTTTGAAACAATTACTAATAGTTTAAAAAGGTTTTTGAGTTATTACTTTTAAAATACTTTTAAAGAATGTAAAACCCAGGTTGCTTTCGTTCTCTATAGTTTGCTATTGTTCTCTATGGTTTGCTATTGTTCCCTATGGTTTGCTATTATTCACTACGGTTTGCTATTATTCACTATGATTTGCTATTGTTTACTATAGTTTGCTATCGTTTATTATAAGTTACTTCACTATAGTCCTATATACTTTATTCATTTTATACTACATATAGGAAAGATATAACAGTTATATTTTATTTTAAACTATGGTAAGTTGGAAACAAAGTTTAGGGACTAATACCAGTCTGTTTAAAATCAACCTGGATATATCACATGTATTATATTAAATAATTTTCTTTTAAATTTACCTGCAGCAACATTTTTTGTAGTGATTGCATCACACCCCTCTAACCAAAAACCATTCATTAACCCACATTGAAAGTTATTTAGTAATGCAGAGTCACTTAGTAAAATAAAAAGCATATGTGCTCCACGCAAAACTGTTTGTTTGTGTACTTTAGCTCCAAAAAACAATAACAGCCAATCAAAACCAAGAATATTACATACTTGGTTACTGAATCTGAAAATAGAAGATAAAACTTAAAAGAACCTTGTAAATATGTTTTTTTTTTTTTTTTCAAGATAATAAAATAACTCGTCTTGCAAAAAGAAAAAGAACTGCAAAAATGGTTAAAACTTACAGTATTGTATCTTTTTCTTGACCAGAAAATATTAACAAATGAATAAATACATCTAATAATGCATTACGCTTAATAATATCTCTTTTTAAATCATATGCATGACTAAACTTTTCATAATTGTTATCAAGAATAATGTGTTGCTCATTTTGACTAAGTGAAATTGTACTAGCTAAATATTGTCCAACTCTAAAAAATAAATACTGTTAGTCTATAAAATTATTTTTTAGAAAGTCTTTACTTATGAAGAAGGTTTTTGAATAAATTAGTCAATATACAAAACTTTTGGAACATATACACAAAAACATTTTTTAAATATAAGTAAATAATAACTACTTGTTAAAGAATCATTTCTTTGTGAATCTTTTTCTTTTTAATTGATTTTTTTTTTTTGCAATTTTTTCATTCATTAATCCAATTTTAACTTAAAACAGTTCTTAACCAGTATAAGCTTTTATTTATTTGTTTTTGTGTGTATATATTGTTTGTTATATATATATATATATATATATATATATATATATATATATATATATATATATATATATATATATATATATATATATATATAATATTATTATTATTATTTGTTATACATATATTATTATACCCCATATGTATTCATGAGAGTTACCATTGTTTTCAATACATTTGACAACACTTTTGGACCATTTAATGTTTAGAAAATTAAAATCTGCCATAATTATAATATCTTTAAAATTGCTTTTGCATTGACATAGGATATTTTTAGGACTTTATTAGAGACTTTCATTTCAATTATTTCATTTGGTCTGTATATACATCTTTATATACAACTATCATTACAAATAATAACCCATATTTGCTCAATTTTGTCAGAACTCAGAGTTTTATCTTCAGCTCAATAAGATACAATGTTGATAATAGTATAACGCAATACCACCACAAATTCTCTCATCCTTACAAACTTTTCTATACAAAAAGTAACATTCAGAATTTGTAACAGTCTCTTTGAACCAAGTTTCTGTTACTTCAATAATACATAGATTTACATCACTACATAATACTTTGAACTCCTCAATTTTATTATGTAGCGAAGTTGCATTCATATATAAACACATAATGTGTTCAATTGGCTTGTAGTTTCTTATATTTGACAATTTTGTTTCCACAGAAATATAGTATCAGCAGCAAGTTGAGAGTTTATCCTATTTATTTCTTGTCTTAATTGAAAATTTTACATTCTCTCTTATTCAGTAAGATCAAGTTTGTGTCAATCAAAAAAATTACTAACGTTTCTTAATTTTTTTGATTAATACAAGAGAGGGCTTCTCATACTTGCATTTTCTAATTCAACTAAAATTAGACCTGAAATTTCTATTTTTTTGTGACCGCCATTTACTCACATTTTTTGTTTTTAACATTGGCTCCAAGATTATGAAATAATCCTTCAATTTTTTCATTATCATCCAAGATTATGAAATAATCCTTTAATTTTATCATATTCATTATCATCTTCAATTTTTTTTTTTAGGTGCCCAAGAAGTCCTCACAATCTTATCACAGAGCACCGCAGAAGAGCGTTTGATAGGAAGTTCACACCTCTTTCCCAACCGATGTCACAAAACTTGCCTAGGGGTGGGGTTTGAACCATGGATCTTATGTTTCTGAGGCATGTGCACTACTACTGTGCCACGAATGCTTAAATGTTGGGTAAAGACATTCAAGTGCCATGGATCAACATGGCAGAGAGCTCACTCAGCCACGTTCTCCAAGTATTGCATTCTGAACTCTTGATGCATTACATTTTCATGTGGAGATCCCAGAAATGTAGCCAACGCTTCGCGCAATGATCTTTTCACACTTTTCACACTTGACCATTGACCAAACATTTTCAATAGGGTTGAGTATTGGGGAATATGAAACAAGCCTCAACACTCTTGCGTTTTGAAACTCAGGCTCCAAAAATACTTCCTCAACCCGAGAATGACATGATGCATTTTCACAAATGACAACAACTTGATCCAAACTTCCAAAATATTCAGCTGCTGAGCGTAACATTTGACCAAGTTTGCAGTTTGATTCTTATATGCACCACGTAGATGTTCATTGTAAAAAAAGCCATTGCACTCATTCCATCAATGACATATTTTTTATTTAGTGAATATTTTTTCTGTTTTGGGGTGCATTGCAAGGGGCAACTGTGCTTGAATCAACGTTTGGATGGTGCAGTGAAAAGATTATAACTTGTTTCATATATCCAAATCGGAACTTTGCTATAACCAAACAGTTTACGCATGTTTTGAACGTAATGCTTTCGAGCTTCTTTTGCAGCCTCTGTGTTTATTTGCAAAGATTCATAATGAATGTCTTTATAGGTGAAAGCATGACCATCAAGTGCTTGGAGTATCATAGAAATTGCAACATCAAAGTGAAGCTCGTTGTTTATTTGAGCTTTGATTCTGTCATTTGAAAATCCTTTTCAATCCAATCTTGAATGACATCAAGATAAACTTCAGTAAGCTTCTTCTTCTTGTAACCTCTGCATTTCAATTGCACGATAATATCTTTAACAATGTATCTACATGTTGTACGAATACTGACACTGTCGGCTGCAGCAATTGCTTTCAAGTCGTCCCCAGCATTAGAATAACTATTGTTTTGTTTATTTATTGTTTTTTTTAATGAAGTATTTATTTTAACTTTATTGTTTTTATTATGATTACTGATATTAAGATTATTATATTTATTAAATCATTGTTACTTTTTTTTGCAGTAATTGTTTTGGTTACATGGTAGGTTGTTACATTTTGTCAGTACATAACTGTTTGTAACTTTCCTGTCAGTGCATTATATTCAATTGTTGTTTTAAAATTAATATTGGTTTATTATCATATAAATTTCTTATTATTCTTATAACTTTTAATTTATCATCATTATTATTATCATTATTATTTGTATTATCAACTCTATTTCACGGTATTTACTTAAGATTAGTTTTTAACTATTTGTAAATGACCTCAATTGTAAGAGCTTTTATCGAAAAAAAATAAATATATATATTGAGTCCATTGATTACATTGCAGATGCTTTGGCATTCAACAGCAGTGACCTTTTTGTAGGGACCATGTTTTGGAGCAGCAGTGGTGGGTTGTTGTCTTAAGTAGATTCCATTAAATTTGAAAATGAAAGATTTTATTTTAACAATTACTTTTAATGAATTTATTAAATTCAACATAAAAAATTTATAGAATTTGGCTGATAAAACTTTTACGCCAAATTATAATGAAAAAATGCCAAATTTAAGTGAAAAGTGACAAATTAAAGCGCCAAATAAAAAAAAAAAAAATGTCAAATTAAAGAGAAAATTGCCAAATTAAAATGAAAAAATGCCATATTAAAGCGAAAATTGGCTAACTTATATGCAAAAAGGTGCAATAATTTTTTTTTTTATAATTTTTAAATTTTCAGACATTTTATAGTTTACATCTAATTTACTTTTATTATTTCTTTTTTTTTTTTTTTTTAAAAATTAGACTAATTCTTTTTTAATTAAATTTTTTAAATGAAAAAAAAATAAATTAAGATGTTTAACACTTTTCAACAATCAAAAAACAAAAGAATGACATAAAAGAATAACAACTTCAACTGCAAAAGGAGGAAAAGTGAAGTGTACAATAATGTATATTAGTGTGTTTTGTTTCTGACAATTTTTCGAAAATGGTTACATTACATGCATAACAGGGTAAATAATGGGCCAAAAAAAAGTTTTCAAAATTTTTAAATATCATTTAGAGGTTGCCATCTTGAAAAAGTAGTGTTTTTTAACTTTAAATTTAAATTATTTAATATTAATTTTATTGATTTAAATTTTTAATATAATTTTAAGTTACTTAGTGTATGTAATTTTAAGTTACTTAGTGTATGTAATTTTAAGTTACTTAGTGTATGTAATTTTAAGTTACTTAGTGTATGTAATTTTAAGTTACTTAGTGTATGTAATTTTAAGTTACTTAGTGTATGTAATTTTAAGTTACTTAGTGTATGTAATAAAGGTTATTGGATGAACAATTGGCCAAATTTTCAAAAATATTGGTTTATGACTAGAGGTCGCCATATTATAAAGTTTAGTTTTTTTAACATATTTTTTTGCTAAAAAAATTCCTTAAATGCTTTAAAAAACATTAACTAAAACACAAAATTTAGGTTTTGAGCATAATTGACCACTAAAAGTTTTTGCGTGATTAAATAGTTTACAAAATAAACACCTGAACGTATGTATATAAACTTCATAAACTTATTTTTAAAAAATTGATTGTTATATTAATTAGCAAAATTGAAATTTTAAAAATAATTTTAAAACTAGTTTATTGGATAAGCAAATATTTTATTATAACGATGAACCTTAGAAAAAATAATCAAGATTAGTTAGTTGGTTACCCTGAAACCAATAAATTATCAAGCTTCAGTCGCCTACCAACAAAAAAACATCTCATTTACATTTATATTCAAAAAGCGACACTTCTGCAAGAGATATTTTTAAACTTGTTCTTGGTGAGCTTAAGGAAGTTTGGGAAAAAGCTGGAGTACTAACTTGATCAGATAACTCTTGTCTTTCATTGCTTATCAAATGGTTGGGAGAAAAGGTGAAAATAAAAAAAATCAAGCAAGTCGAAATGTTAAAGCTGGAAAAGAAAATATTGTCAGATTTTGTAATGAACTTGAGCAACATTGCGACATTTCAGCAGTAAATGAATAGGAATAGTTATTAACATCACGTAAACCAAAATGGAAAGAAGATTGGGCATTTTATAAAGATCAAAAGAGTAGCAGAAAGTATCACATATGACAGGTAGCATGGATTTTCAGAGAAGGTCAACCGAAGATCAAAAATCAAAAGTCAAAGTGTTGACGAAGAAGATCAAAAAGATACAGAGTTTACCACTAAAGAAAAGAAAGATGCCTTTAACAAACTTAAAATATCAGCAAAGAAGCTCTCAGAAGTAAGGGGATCTGTGGCAGATCGATGATGTTTATCAGTTCGCCAACATCTTCTATTTCAATCCACTATCATCTGCAAAAGCGGAAGCAAACTTAATGATGTGTCCGTCTCAGTATCAACTGTGCATTGTCAAAGACAAATTGCGCGGGAGAATATTGTTCTGTTGATTAAAGCTGACTGGGAGATAAACAAACCTAAAAAAGGCCATTTTGCACTGGGATTTGAAGTTTTTTTATTTAGACAGCTCATAATGGAGAACGTGTAGCAGTTCTTATTAGTGGATCTCTTAATGGGTACTTATTTATTTATATAAATCCTATGTATTTTTTAAATTTTTGTTTTCAAAAGAAACTAACTTAACTTTTATTTGCAGGCCGAAACTTATTGGTATACCTTTGATTAAAGATTCAATAGGTAAAATGTGATGCAGCCATGAAACTTGCGCAAAATTGGAATATTTTGGAAAACATTATTGGTATATTCTTTGATACAACAGCAAGCAACACAGATAATAAAAAAGGAGCAGCTTTAATTGAAATTGAGTTAAAGAGACCTCTCCTATGACTAGCATGTCACCATCATCATAATGAGTTACACATCAAACATGTATTTACCACATTAGGAGATACAGGCCTTAGCATATTTCAGAAGCGATCGCGCTCGAAACAGGGTCGTTGGTGGAGTGTTTATAAATTGCAGGCGCGTTGGGAAACTTAATTAGCAAGCGTTTTAAAAAAATGCTCGCTAATTAAGTTTTTGGCTAGCCTGCAATTTGTAAAAACTCTATTGGCGAGTTTGTGTTTCACATAACGGGCATGATCGTTATTGATTCATGCCAAGACCTGAGATAGCAAAAGTTTCAAAGCCGAATTTTCAACAAATTGATATTGATTACTCAAACTTTATTTTTTTGAATGGCCTGCTAATATTAAATCAAAAATATTTAATAAAGCAAGTTTAGTTCTGAAATGGGCTTACCAATGCCTCGAAGAGAAAATATTTCTGCAAGAAGATTATCTCGACCCCAAAACCAAAAACTTTTTCAATTGGGAAACCAAAATTTCCAACATTAAATTCTTCAACCTTTCTTTATTTCTTGATTGGACCAAAGTCTTGGCTTCTTTTTGATCTATTAGGACTAATAAACAACCAGGAATGGCTCCACAAGAGTGGAAGTTCTTCCAAGATTATCGAATCGCAGAAAATTTTGTTAAACAATTAGAAGTAACAAATGATTGCGCTGAAAGAGGTGTAAAATGAAGAACAGTTGCATTTATTTTGCAAGTTGTTGAACAACACAGATAGCAAAATCCATCCTTTTTGAAATCAAAACTAATTAATGCTTTATATTATTTTTTATATTACTAGTATCTTCTTTATCAATTATTATTCTTACAAAAAGATGAAGCCTTAAAACAGCCTAACTCAATTTTAATTATATCTTTTTTAAGATTTAAATAAATAAAAAATTTTGTAGTTTTATATTTTAATACGGCGACCTCTAGACATTATCCAATTTTTCTGAAAATTTCAATGTTAACCTTTGATATATATCCAGTAACGTAACGTAAAATTAATTATTTTAATTATTAAAAAGTGTAAAAAACTTTTTCAAGATGGCGACCTCTAGATGACATTTTAAAATTTTGAAAAATTTACAGACTTTTTTTTGGCCCATTATTTACCCCATAATGCATGTAACGTAACCATTTTCAAAAAATTGTCAGAAATGAAATACCCTAGTGCATATGTTCAATTTATTGTATTCGGCTCTGCCCAATACAAATGAAAATATAGAAATTTGATTATTTAACAAACATATCTATATGTGTGTGTATGTTTGTGTTTCATATCTTTTTTTTTTTAAGCAACATGGTTATATTAAATAAATATTTTAACATTTTTTTTAGATTATAAAAAGAAATTAAAATATATATTTTATTATTTATATTTTAAATTTTAAATATAAACTTAAAAACATTTTAATAGATTTTAATTTTAAGTAACCAATGTGTACTACAATGTGTAAATACTTTGTAGCATTTTACCATACATATGCAATTATAATAAACTTACACTAGTAAGTCATTTGTTTGAGTCGAACTTGCAAGCAAAACAGACAAAACATTAGCTACTGTGTGCAATGTAGGTTCAGCTATGTCTCCTTCTTGAATCATGTGAATAAATTTTGGAACACATCCAAGTTTGCACAAACATTGAATATTTCGCTTGTGATCCCTGTTTAACGAAATTCATAAAATTTTAAAACAATTTGCATGTTTGGTAAATAAAACAAAAAAATTTTGTAATTCATCAGTAAACTAATTCAAGTTTCTAAGCTATTAGAAATAAGTATTGCTTTTTAAGCTCTTTTCAAATTCTTTACAATTAAATATAATCTTCAATAATAACTAATTCAAATAAAAATCTAACAAGTCAAAAAATAAAGTATAAAATTAAACATAAACAAGACAAAAAAGTTAGGCATAAGCAAGACAAAAAAAAATTAGACAACAATTATTCAAAACTTACAAGCCTTGTGTAATTAGCTCATAAAAATGAGAAAACAAACTTTTTTCCAGATTGCCTGGTGTATTATTCCATATCTAGATGCAATAAATATTTAATAGTCATCAAAAACTATTAAAAGCCAAATAAATATATATTATGTATATATTTGCAATATTTTATAATAGGTTTTTATTTTTTTTTTGGTTTACTTCTTTTCTATGGACAATATGTATTTTACAATTGTTAGTGAATAGAAGTATTTTTAATTTTTGAGATACAAGTAGTATAGTAAAATATTTTAATTACAAAATAAAGGAGATGTTTAAAAAATTTAATAAATGTTTGGCCTTTCTTTTTTTCTAATTTTTTTGCTTATAAAAAAGTCAATATAGTTGACTTTTTTATTTAATCTGTTTATGTTGACATTGATTCTTATGTTGTTAATAATTGAGTTATAATTGATTTGATGTTGTTAAATAAAAATAGATCACTAAATTCTATGGTTGCTTATTTGATGTTATTATTACAATACTTATTTATTATATTGCTGAAGAAGGTCTTAAATGGCTTCATGTTTGTTGGATACTTTGAAGTTTCTTGCAGGCCCGCCCAGAGCTTTTGTGATGCCCGGGTCCAAAAGTTTAATGGATGCTCTATCTTACTTCAGGTCTTAAAATGACAAATACAAAATAAATTAGTATAGTTAGTTGTTGTTTACTTTCATAGAAAATCTGAAACCACATTTAGTAAATTTTGGTTTTTAAAAACAAACTATGGTAAAATCAAGTCTTAATATCGAACGCATCTTTCTGGCCTTCTTATCGGCAAAAATAACTACTTGATAAGAAACGTTATTGGCTAAATCATATTTAATTGAAAAGATCATCAAGTAGCACAATCGCTTCTGGTCTATTGTGGAATGAAGATAACCTTTAATGATAGTTAACTTATTGAAAGATCTTTCACCTTCAGATGTTGAAACGGGAAATATTTGGAAAATTGTAAGTGAAACACACCCTAGTGAAAATATTGAATGCAATCCCTTTGCATAAACTTCATTTAGATGTTCGGCAGGCTTTTTGCTGCCTAGAATAATTCTTCTTACAGAAAAAAAAAAACAAAACTTCATCAGAAAATTCGTTTTTACATAAGTCTTATGGGTGATGTTTTGCGAGATTCTCAGCTTTTAAACCTAGTTCTTTGTCTGTTTGAGATTTCTGTGAAGACTAAAGGAAGGAAAACTTGTTACATTCCACTTGTATTACTTTAAATCTTGATTTCATTTGAATAGTCAGATTGCCGAGTGCGACATTGAAGACATTAGCCTTGACTACGACAATTTTTTGTGTCGAACTCAATCTCTTCCAACTCATTCAATATCAACTTTGTTATATCAGATAATTTCTTCTTTTTAAGTTTTTCCAGTTTAAAGAACCTTTCTTTGACCTCCCACAGATGATTATCACTGAAATGCAAAAAACAAAAAATGAAAGTAATTTGACTGCTGTGTGACAAATCGTCAGTGCTGTACATGGTGATAGTGAAATATATTGATTTTTTGATTTCTTAAATACCTTCTAAAACCATACTCGATAAACTCATTCTGAAAATTTCAGGACAAGTAATAAACTTGCTACGCTTTTCTTTTTCTTGGTGCTTAGCTATAATCTCTAAGAAATTTCATTCTTAAACACTTTTTGATTGGATCCTAATTGCAAACAAAAAATTATCAAAATAGTAATCCATATTTATATCCAATTATAAATTATAATTTTGATTTTTAAATTATAAATAAAATAATACAAAATATAATTTAAAATTCAAAAACAATATTCTTAATCCTAAACGCTAAATTTTATTAAGTTAGAAAAATTGTGACATCAAGAATGCATTATAAAATTACTTTCTATCGCTTTGTTTTATCTCTAAAAGAACTTTTAACGTTATTTTTTTTTTTTGCCGTTAAATAAGAAAATTTTATATTTTATTATGCAAGCAAAAGGGCAACGAAAACGCGTGTGTTCAAATGGAAAATGAAAACCTTGAAAGTAATAATTATCCTATTTTAAATATAAACAAAGTTTTAAAGGAGAACAAAATTATTACACAAAGTTTGCTTAAGCTTTAAATATGTTATCGTCTAAATTTTTTGTTATTACAATAATTTTTAAAGGCATATGTGATGCCCCATAGACTGTGATGCCCGGGGCAAACTACTTCAATTGCCCCTCCCTCTTGGCGGCCCTGGTTTCTTGTATTGTAATTGATGTTATCAAGGTTAACAAAACCAAGTTGTTTGAATAAGTTAATCGATTTCTTGTAATAAATTATTTTATTAAATAGTTGAGAGAAAAACCATACTTTAAGTTAATGATTGATTTGAAGATTGTTTTGAATATTAATTTTGAGCAATTAAAATAATACAGTATGCATTGGTAAGGCTTTATATTTCTTTTCTAGTGTAGTAAATTATTTAAGTGAAACACACTTATATTATATTATAATATATATATATATATATATATATATATATATATATATATATATATATATATATATATATATATATATATATATATATATAATCCATTTATTTAACCATAAATATGAAAAATTTATGATAGCATTTTATAAACTCACATAAATAAGGTTAGGTGTCACTCATATTGTTATAAACTAGTCAATGGAGTGACACCTAAAAAAAACTATAAATAAAATACAAAATAATTTAAAATAAAATAAAGAAAAAAAAAAAAAATAGGAAAGAAAATAAAAAAAGCATTAATAAATAAAGATAATATTAAAAGTTGCAGTAAAAATGTAGCAAAAATAATAATAATATGAATAAAAAAACATTACAAATAGTAGCTATAACATAATAACTTTACTAAAAATTATAACTATTGATAAAAGCTATGGTAAAAATAACTATTATTGTAAAGTTAAAAAACAATTATAGTAACTATGACAGAAATTGTTAAAATAAACATAACATTAGCAAAAATTAGGACAATAACCATAAAACTATTACTAGAATGGAATCACTATCACTATCATTGTAAATAATATTTATAAAAGGTAAATTAATTATAATAGTAATATTAGTAGAGTTGAAAAAGACAGTATAAAATAAAAGTAATAATAGTTTTATAAATACGTTAATATAAAAAAATAATAATAATAAAAGATAAAATTAATATTCATTAAATATATATTCAAATAAAAATTTCTTAATTTGGTTTTGATTGAGAAGAAGAATGTTGGTAATGAAAGGGTATTTAGTTAAAAACTTTTTTTTTTAAATGGTATTATTTGGTTCCAGTGAGAAATACATTGATCGTTTATAGAGAGCTTGCCATATTTGGTACTTCTGAAAAAGTAAGTGTGCAATTTAAAATTTTCATTATTTTGAGTGTAATATTTGTGTCACTTGTAATAATAAAAAAAATATTAAACAAATTTGATAGTTTATATTGTAGAAAATCAGGCAATTTTGTTAGGATTTGTCACGAGGGGAGGGGTCTTGATTTTGTGACGCAACATTTTTTTTTTTTTTTTAGAGAAGACGTTCTTCTAAATAAAAGAGTATCTGAAGAAACCAAAACCCTCAGTTGATGTATCTACATGTTGATTGTAAAATTAACTACACCTAAATCTTACTTAGTTGATGTGTACACTCCATTACAGCCTGTTAACGGACTGTTACGACTGTTTGTGTAGTGCACAGTGCAGAACTTAATTTTGTTGGTGCACAAAAGTGTGCATCAACAAAAAAACAATCTTTGTGCAATAACTAAAAAAAAAAACTTTTCGATACCGAGAAACGAACCTGGAACATGGAACCCTCGGTTTATTAGCCGGAGGCAGAATCCACTCGACCACGCTTACGTAGCTAGTTAAAAGAAACTTATATTTATAAAATAATATTTTTGCATGCATAATATGTTATTATTTATTATATATATAATATTTTGCATGTATTATATTTTGGAAAAATAGATTCTTAAAATTGGTATCATGTTTAGGAGAGCAATGTTAATTTATACAATTTTACACAGAGCTATTGTGGTGAAAAAAAACATTAAGCAGACTGAAAAGTAGTAATTAATTAACTCAAAGAAGCTCAGAGAATTATAGACATTATATTTAAAATCGTTTTGTATTTTGTAAAATTTTGCAACCCCTCTCATCGTCTCTAAAAAAAACTTTGTAAAAATTTTTTACGAAGGGGCAGGGTGTCAAAAAATGTCAAAAATTGTGTGACGTAATTTATGGACGACCTCATAGACCCTAGAACAAAACCCTGTGAGACACCATACTATATAACTTTACTTGTGAATTGAAACCTATTAATCAAGACAAACTGAGTACGATTTTTAATATAGGATGAAAACCAATCATTAGCGATACCCCGTATACCAGTGATACAATTTTTCAATTAAAATCTTATGGTCAACTGCATCAAATACTTTTTGGAGATCAATAAAGACACCACAAGCAAAAGAACCACTATAAATCGCACCACGATTCATTTCAGTAATGCTAATAAGTGCATGGGAAGTAGAGTGTTTTAAACAAAATCCAAACAAACCTTCAAAAATACCATGAGAGTTATTTTTGTAGCTTGATCTATCTACTTTTGGATTATGTTTTGTTTTTTGGTAAAAATGATGGAAAGAGTTGATCTTAACCATTTGCAATCATGTGTACATTTGAGAGGTTGAGGGGGAAGGGGCTTTTAAATTTTTTTTTTTCATGTATTTTAAATATAAAAATAATTTTTGGGCGCTTTTTTTTGGGCGCCCATACCGGTAAAACGGTACTTAAACACATCTGGGTTCTTCACTGAATAGTGACAGTAATAACAAAAGTAGTAGTAGTAATGTATAATAAAAATATAAATTATATTAATTTAAATATATAATAAAAATATATTAATTTTTATTTCAAATTATTTTTTTGTTTAAGAAGTTTTGTTGAAAAAAAACTAATTTTTTTTATTTTTTTATATTTTTTAATACAAGCAACCACTTAAAATCAGCCTGTTGCTGAACTCAGAAAAAATGGTAATAAAGAATAAAGAAAGTAAACGGTAATAAAGAATAAAGAAAGTAAATCGTAATAAAGAATAAAGAAATAAAATGGTAATAAATAATATAGGAAGTAAATGGTAATAAAGAATAAAGAAATAAAATGGTAATAAATAATAAAAGAAGTAAATGGTAATAAAGAATAAAGAAAATAAAAAATATTACAATCACTTTAAGCTATTAAACAAAAGTATTTCGTTTTTAGCTAAAAAAAAAATTATTCACAACTATGAATGATCATCTTTTTCTTCTTAATAAAGTTAAAACTAATTCTGTTAAATAAGGATAACAAATTAGACAAAAGGCTTAGTTTTAAATTTCAAAAAACAGTTTAATCTAATTATGAATAATTAAGTAAAAAAATGTATATAATCAGAATCAAAATACTTAAACAAGTTTTTACTTTGCCCAAAAATTAAAGTCCATTACTTTGTTAATTAGTAATCTTGAAAGTGTCACAGCTTGGTTATAATTTTTTATAAATATGCTTATATTTATAAATATACTTATATTTTTTATTAGTATACTTATATTTTTTATAAATATACTTATAGAAAAAAAAAGGCAAAACAAGCAAGACTAATAGAATAAAAGATTTTATTGAGTAGAAGTTCCTCTAGAGAGAAAACAAAAAAAGCGTTACATAGGACATACGTCATAGGACATACGTTAGGAAAAACTTGTTGAAAATAGTGAATCATTATTTGTCAATGTTGCTGTTAGTTTAAATGGTTCATGGCAGCACAGAGATTACTCCTTAATGAATAGTATAGTCACAGCAATCTCATTGAAAGTCTGTTGATGCTGTTGTCCAGATTAATAAGTTGTTACCCCTGCAAGATATGATTTAGAAGAAAAGGATAACTCAGGAAGTATGGAATTTGCAGGTGCTCTAAAAATATTCAAGTGATCTGTCAATGAGCTTAAACTCAAGTAGATGACATTGGAGATAGAGATACCAAGTCTTATATGCAAGTTTGTGATGCAAATCCATATACTGGAGAAACTATTGAAAAAAATATTTTGGCAGTGATGAATTGCTCAATAAATTTTTACATGGCCAAACTCAAAACAAGCTTTCCCAGGAAAGGCGTGCGGTTTTTCGTCTTGTATGATCACGCAAGAGTATTTCATTTTAGACAACTTCATAGCTGTTTGCAAGTTTTATAATATTATTCATTTTTTTGTTTTTAAAACTTTTTTATGCGGAAAAAGTTTTGAAAACAAAAAAAGCAAAACTAACAATATAGGAAATAAAAAGAAATTTAAATAGAAAAAAATAAAAATAAACTAATAATTTAAATAATTTATGTTTATTAATTATGTCTATGTCTTATTTTTTTATTTTTGTTTCTTTAGAGTGGTTGTTATATTCAGCAAAAAAATTAGATAAGGCGAAGTAAATAAAAAAAGTTTCAAGTCTTTTTTTTTTTTTTTTTTTTTGTTAATTCCCCTCCTCAAGGCCGAGAAGGCCACTACAGACGAGGAGGCTACTCATTTGTGGTTATATAACCCTCTCAACTCTATAACTCTGAAACACAAACCTTGACGAACACGGCCGCTGCGTGGAGAAACGAGTTGAGCGTGGTACTACCAGGGACGTGGTGGGGATTGAACTTGGAACCTCTCGCTTATAAAGCGAGCGCTCTACCACTACACCACTACCATAGTCTACAATATAAAGAATGATTTTCCTACAATAAAGTCTACAATAAAAAGAATAATTTTTCTTTATTAAACTTTTTTTAAAGAAGAAAGCGAAAATATAAATTGCAATGTATTTGTAAAATGTATTTATATAACAACAAGAGTTGAATTAAATGATCACGAAATGCAATATCTGAAAAAATATCTGGTCTTCAAATTTTAGCTCATACAAAAACATGTTTTTTGTTTTCAAGAGGCAAATCAACTTTAATTTGTTATCAAAAAAGTTATAAAAAATGAAACATTAAACTTACAATTTTTTTTTTTTTTTTTAATTTTAATTCACCTCCTCAAGGCCAAGAAGGCCACTACAGACGAGGAGGCTACTTATTTGTGGCTATAACCCTCTCTCAACTCTATAACTCCGAAACACAAACCTTGATGAACAAGGCCGCTGCGCGGAGAAACGAGTTGAGCGCGGTACTACCAGGGACGTGGTGAGGATCGAACTCCGAACCACTCGTTTATGATGCGAGCGCTCTACCACTACACCACTACCGCACAAATACAAAAGTAATAACGCTCTAGTG